ATAAAAACTTGAAGACCCTCCATGGAGTAGCAAACACTGTCTTCTCCCATGATTAACATTCCAGAGGAATTTGTCAATTGCCTTTGGCAAGGTCCAAGATGGAGATATACCTTGCACCCCTGAGCCTTTCTAGGAGATCCTCTATGCAAGGTATGGGTTAGACATCGAACCGAGCTATGGTAATGACCTTGTGGAAACCTATGCGCAGCTGCATTGTTTTGTCCTTTTTAGGCACCACAACAATTGTGTTGTGCCATTCTCTGCATGATTCCCGAATTCCCTGTTGTACCAGCATTTATTGTATCCAGTGCTGTGGCAAGGAAGTTTGGCACCTGGGCCAAAGCTCACAGCAGCAGCCCATACTTACCCTATGCACAGACCAGGGGCACACATGTACTCCCCCCATGCTTGCCTGGGAGTGCATGCCATGGCGGAAAGCACCCTCCCCCTGTCCCCATGCCCCCCCCGCCCCAAACAAGCTGCTCGTGGCTCTGTCTTGTGCCCCACTCCACCTGGGCAGCTCCTGTTGGCGCCCCTTTGCTTCAGCGCCCAAGGTGGTTACCCTCTTGCCCACCCCCTTGCCCCCCCTTGCTACAGCACAGATATTATCTCTTCTTGTACTGTCCCTTTCAGCTTTTGCAGGATCCACCTCTAGGTTTCCTGGACAACCCAACCTGGTGGGATCTCTATCTGGTGTTCTATCAGTAAGGTGTTCCCCAAGTAGGAGAAGAGTACCCCAGGTCATCCCCACCCCCTGCCTAGTAATGGAAGTTGGGTCCCCATTGCACAGAGAAAGATCCAGAAGCTTAACATACAGACAGATGCAATATATTGAATGAAGAATGGCATGCAGTGCTTGCTGCTCAAAGTGCTGGGATTTCATAATCCAGTGCTCAGCAACCTGAACCATTATTGCTAAAATCCAAAATAAATATTAATGGGGTCCTTTCCATTCTTTCACCTAGATTTAAACAAATATTTAAGCTGCTGGGTAAGAATGCTGATTATTGGTTTAAGAGGGCATGGTATATAATAGGCAAAATTCCTATGGAACTTTGTGGAAATTGGTTCAAATATTTGAAAATGTATGTAACTGGATAGATGTAAATGAAAAGGTCTACAATAACTTGCAAGAGGCAAACCATAAGAAAAACAAGCAGGAGACTACAGTATTGATATGTTAGTGAGAGGAGAATGAGGAAGGAACCTAAACCTTTGCAACACTAATGAACAAGTGGGATAGCAATTGTTTCAAGGGCTTTAGAGCTATACTGTACACTGCATATGAATAGATCATTCTGAACCTGGGATGTTCAACCCCTGGCCCATGGGCCAGATTCAGCCTGTGAAGTGGTATCATCTGTCCCATCATCCTCCCCATGAGTCTGAAAATTTGGCTGTAGGGGAATGGTAGCTGTGTGAATTGCCACTCCCCTGCTGCCAAAGATCCTGGCCTACTGGGCCCAATTCAGGCACACAGGGTTGGGTCTATTTGGCCTGGGACCCAGTCCCACAAGGAATGCAGCCCACAGACTGGCCCTGCATCACTCATCTGCCCCATGGGGCCAAAAGGTCGAGCACCACTGTTCTAAACTGCATTCAGTTCCTATCATGAGCATGGGGAGTGCTCATTCGAGCTATCCTTACAGTGCAAAGTGCTATGGAATTGCGTGACAACAAATAGTAAGCATAAGATATGGAAATTATCGGCCAGCATTCTTCCTCTTTATGTTGCAAGTCTTCACAGAAGCCTGGAGACGCACGACAGATTGCATCCTGTCCTTCAGTTACATCACTAAACTGCACTTGCCACAGGCACTTTTTGCACCCAGCACCCGGTGGCCCCAAGGGCAGCCATGATGCCTCCTGGTGGCCATATGGCTCCTGCCTGGCTTAAGCTCTAAGACAGCAGTTCCTTGATTACTTGCCCATCACACCTTGTTCCTATTAAAGATTAGGAAAGGGAGGCTGCCCATGGGCCATAGAGTGAATTTTAGTCTTTCAAATTGCTAACTGGTCCCTCCAGGGTTACTGTGGTCTTAAGAGCCAAGTATGTAGCTCCATCCACACCTACACCACGCTCCAAGCCTCACAGGTCTTATCACTTCTGATGTTCTCTTCCTCTTTGCTCCTCCTCCACGCTGCGAGGAGGACTCCCTATAGGGGTCCTCCCTCTCAACCCCTCCTCTGGGCTGGGGGGACCCTGTGTGCCCTGCTCAGCCTCTCCTCCTGGCTGCGGGTGGGGAGGAGGCCCCTGTATCTGACTCAGCCCCTTCTCTCACCTGGGCACAGGGCCGTCTGTACCCTGCTCAGCCTCTCCTCCTGGCTGAGGGGAGAGGGTATGACCCTCTGTACCCTACTCACAGCTCCCTCCAAGGTACCAGCTCACTGAATGTGCCTTGAGCCTGCCACCAACAGGGATCAGGGCTTTTGACTCAAGCAAAAGCATCAACATAAATTAATGGCCACTTGACTGCATAAACCAATTTCTCTGTACCTGGATAATATTTCCCTGTTCTCCAGGCCCGCAGAGTGCCTTGATCCCTTGTTCTTTCAGGAGCTTCACTACCCTGCTGTCTGGAGCTCCTCTCCTTAGCTAGGCAGCTTTTCCTCTGAAAAGGGCAGGCACACTAAGCATCCTGCCCCATTTGGCATGGGTCCCTGGCTGCTTGACTGACTTGGGCAGACTTCCTCCACTTTTCTGACCCATGTTGTGCAAACTTGAGCTTTCTTCATCTGATCATTTTAATGATCACTTATGCTCACAAAGAAGTCTCTTTCAAATTTAACCATACCAACGAGAGGGTCATGCCTTTTAGCTGTACTTGTGATGATGCTGTTTTTCATATAAAAAGACTTTTTGTAGCTCAGCATGCTGCAGTGCAAACGTAGAGATGATAGGCCAGTAAGCATACCTTCCTGTATGCACATTACAGAAAGGAAGGAAAGACAGAAGATGAGTCATGTTAGTATCACTTAACATGGTGAGTCCCCCGGATCACTGCACCAAGCTTAGCCTTGTCCTAATAGAGCAGTCATCTAGGTTGGGACCTGTAGGAGATATAATAATGCACTGAGCAGAAGGCAGAGTAGAGATGCTCCTGATAGGCTAACTAAATCAGAGATGTATAAACTTATATGAGCAAGACTTCACTTCATCAGATGCTTATGCACTTCTGATTCAGTTAGTCTATCAGGGGCATCTCTACCATGCCTCCTGCCTGACTGCAGAATAACATGGCTAACTACCTCTCAATAAACTGAACAATAATAGTAATTTCTATTTGAAAGTCTCCGCCAGTCTGAAAGATCCCTTTTTGATCTTTACAGGCAATTGCTACGAGTGAGTTTTAGCTTGAGGCTCTCTCATCTTTACATATTTGGTTGAATCATTTTTTAAGCAGATCTTTCCGTCACTTGGTACACATTTGTTGAAAAAAGCATCATAAAAATGTAGGGTATCATATATGCTCTAATCATATGGGTGGCAATTTACTTTGGTACATGTCCTTTGATAATCAATGATGTGTGGAGATGTACACAAATCTGTATAATGGAAATATCTTTTATTCCGTTTCCTTAAATAAAGGTACTCAATGCTTTGTTAAGCAATAAAGATAAGCAAAAGCCACAGATTGTTTTGAAAACAAGTTTTTGTACTGTTGAATTGAAAAAAAAGATGGCTTTTTCTGGAGATAAATAGAATGTTTAATTTAGTCTGTTTAAGGAGCCTATTACTTGATAGCTGAATGAGTCTAAAGTAATGTCTACCTGCTATTACTTTCAGATTGTTTCCCTGGTGTGTACTAACAGCCATCTTTGTTGCCCTTAAGTTATATATGAGGCCAATAATGATTTATTTCTCTCTGCAGGCACTGTAGCTATGAATTTGACCATTGCATAGAAAAAAGAAGACAGAGAAAAACAAGGAAGCTGAAAAAGCTAAGCAGAAAGAAGACAATATCTGATTCACTGAGGCAGTGCAATTTCCCAAGTAGAGTGTTTGCTGTTGAGATTGGACACATAACTGCTTTTCCCAGCTTTACCAATAATTAAATGCGAGACCATGTGCACTTCAATTCCCCTGCTCTGCGTGTTACATTCTTCTTTTGTAAAGGGATACAAAGTCTGTAGATAAAGGCAATACATAAGAGCTAGGTATTAATTATTAAATGGCAATGATGGCGATGATAATATCTTATCCCTCCAGCACCCAGGATGGTGCAGAAATTAGATCACTAATGCGGATCTAATCTAGGCCAAGGTATCCATGAGTTTGGGATGTTTTCACCTTTCTCAGTATTTTAGAGCTGCCCATCAGTAGTGATTTCTGAAGGAAGCATGATCTTATAATAAAGTCTATTTCCAATTTACACAGGGTTGTTGTGCTACTGCCTTCACCCAACACATGACAGACAATTAGTATTATGACTATCCTTCCTTTGCCCTGGATTTTCCTTGGTTCCTGTCAGAATCAGTTGTATTTCTTCTTTCACTTTCAGTTGAACTTTCTCATCAAACAGAAAAGTTCACCATTAAAAAAAAAACAAAATCTCTCCCACTTTCCTTTTTATTATCATCATTTCAGGCCTACAACCATCCTTCCCTTCCTAATCCTGATCACTGAAATCGTTATGTATTTTTCTGGGCAACTAAGAGTTAAAAAGAAAGCATAAGCAAGTGAATTATGGGAGTTGTAGGCCAGATGAATCATGTGAGTTGTAGTAAAACCTCTTCAATATAGTCCTATGTAATGGCTGCCCATGCTGAGGTAATGTACTTTTCCCCTCTGTGGGATATGCTTATTTCTTAACCCATGTATATACAATCCCTAAGGGTGAGCGATAGGAGAACAGTGATGCAGAGTCTGGCAGTAAGTGGCTGGTAGGACCAGGCAGCGTCAGTTCTGACAAGTTCTTGCAAAGGGCAAAGTAACTTTCTTTTATTTTCACTTTGTCACTTGTTGCTACTACTCCTTTCCGTTGTGGTGTGTTTGCAGGCAAAACCCCATGCAGAGGCAATCCATGCTATAAGAGCTCTTGATCTGGGAAGGACATTCTCTAACTTCAGCGGTAACTTGGCCACCTGCCTACTTCCCCAACTCTCCTGGTGTCATTTGTTTCAGCTGAGAAGAAAAAGTGTGGGGCAGAGGGCTCCCAATTTTTATCCCTCGCTCTCCTTTTGGGAAGTTTCACAAGTTGGTAAGAGTCGAAGTTGTTTCCTAGCAAAGTTTCCAGCGTGTTGTATAATCTGGTTGCCTCGTTCGGAAGGAGCCAACAATAAACAGCTTCTGTTGGAGCAGCTGACAATCATTTTTCATGCGTGGCTTAGCCCATTTCAGGAAGCAGAATAAACAAGGAGTGAAGATGAGTCACGCGATGGATTGTCGTACAAGATGCAAACTGCTATTTCAAGCTCTTGAGCTTTTCTCCCTTCCTTCCTCCTGCCTCTGTCTCGTCTGTCCCCGCTTCTGCCTCTGTCTCTCTCTCTTTCACAGTCACCCTGCCCTATCCCTGAGCCTGGGAAGCGCTTTCTCTAACAGGACAATACTGTAACCTGTATCTGGACTGTGAACTGCCTTGTGCAGGGAACTTTTTTATATTCTGAAAACGCTAATAACAACTGGCATTTTCCCCAAATATGGCCTTTCCTCAAAATCCTGAATTCACTTTAATTGCCCACAATCTTCTGTTTGGAAGAGAGTTGTACAAATTCCCTGAAAATGCAAGTGAGTTTGGATGACTGCAGAAAACAAGGCAAATATAAAGTGCCACACCAGCCCACCCCCACCCTACATTTCTAAAATGCTGACATGTAAGTATTTTTCAGGGATCTAATCCTACTGTCCTTGTTTAGGCAAATCTCCTGTCAATGACAGTGAAGGTTCTGCCTGAGCAAATACACCAGGGTTCGTCTCCAGAATATCTGGGCATGTAACTGCAGCACCCCAAAAATGCTTGTCCCGGTAATTTATGCCTGAGAGGTGTGAAAAAGTGGCATCCTTCTGAGATGGTAATCCCTTTTGCACATTGGGTCCTTGTGAACTAGAACCCCCCTTTTGCAGCTGCCCACATGGGATAGAGTTATACTACCTGTTAGAAAAAGAACTGGGGCTGGTGAATTCATTACACTTTGAACTGCAGATTGGGAATTTATGCCTGATTCTCCTTTCACAATATTTAAACATCCAAAAAACTCCATAAAGTTAGCTTAGAGCTGTTATTGATTGCATACAGGCTTGTTTAACACGTTATTCAGGAATAAATACTGCACTTTACACTCATGCCCTACCTTCATCTGAAATAACTTTCAAGTGTAGACAGGCCCCACAGGAGAGGAGCATCGAGTCCTTAATCTTTCTGATTCTAAAGCATATAGTTCTCCAGTTTATATAATTCTATGACTATATAAGTTCTCTTATTATCACATCATCACTTGAGATAGATTGGGTTTTCCTTCAGTTACAGAAAAAGTGAATCTATATAATCAGTAACACTACATTGTTTGGTGAACTGTATTGCAACCACATATTTTTTTATTTTTGAATCATCATAACCTGAATATTTAATGAAGAAGATAAAATGACTTCCAGTGGGCAGTTTATATTTTAAAGATGAATAGATTTAGGAATAAATGTTAATTACCTAGCTGTATTACTATTTAGAAGATGGCCTTCTTGAAATTTTCCAATGGTTGTAAAATATTATATTTCTTTGAGGAATATTTGCTGTGGTGAAAAGTAACACCTAAGATTACCAGAACAGGAAAAAGATTACAGAAGTGGCTTTACATTGTGTGTGTTTTTTTTGTTTTGTTTTGTTTTTAACCTTGTTGGTTTTACAGTTTCCTCTACATCGGTGGTTCTCAACCTTTTTAGACTCAAAGCACCCCTTGTTAGACTTGAGGCACTCCTCAGAAAATGCCAGCTTAGTTTTTACTTGTTTTATAACTACAGAAAAATGGTAGAGCAGTTCTCCTGTTGCAAAAAACTCAGAAAGACCACAATGGGACTTAGGAGGACTTTTAACACTAGTAGGAGTTCCTTTTTGAAATCTCTGGATTTGTCTTGTGAATCACATTTGCACACTTAACAGTGCTAACATTGCCACAGCACCTTGGTTGAGAATCATTTCTCTGCAAAGTCAGTTAGATAGTCATGGCACATGAGACTCATTTATACAGGGCCTGGGTGTGCACCACTTTGGACAGTTCAATTTACGCTGCATCTTTAAGTTCCTGATCTTGTAAAAGTTTTGTGTGTGTATTAAAGTCTTTTTAGAATCAGGCAGTAATGCTGCAACTCAAGAGAAGAGACCCATTACAAATTCAGACAAATGGGATTGTAAAGCCAAAGGAATCGACAGATTGCAAGGGAAAGTTGGTATCTAAAACTCAGGTTGTGTTATTTTAGAAATTGGTTGGATGTTGACATTTTCATTTTAAGAGAGTGCTATCAAGTAAAGATGTTAAACATCCTAGCCTTTATTATTAGTACAGTTTAGAGTGCTAAAACAAAGGGACTATATTAATTATATCAATCATATCGCTAATGTTCCATTATAATTAATCATGACAATAATTAATTTGATCATTATTTATTATTTATTTTATTAATAAAGGCTTAATATAGCATTTACTTGGTTATATTATGTATAATCAATATAAATATATTTATATTTCTTTTAATGAACAATGAAAGGAGACTAGATCTTGCAGTTCCACTTTGCTTTCTAAGCCAGTCATTTTTAGGTTCTCATGTGTGGTCACGCAGCTGTTTTTTTGGATTCCGAAAATTGTTGAGAGGTAGTTATTCGTGTAAGTCTGAAGTCAGGCAGAGGGTAAGGCACCGTGGCACCTTAAAGACTGAATTAGAGATTCAAATTTCCAGAGAATATTTCACTCTAAATGGTAGGTTTTGATTTAAATATAATATAAATGGAAACACTTCCATTAGTAATTAGATTGGAGGAGGAGGAGGAGAACATAGTTCAGCCAAAATCTCCAGAACTGAATGACTAGGGACAGAAATTGCACCTAAACCGGTATCAGTGATCAGAAACTGGTTCAAATCTGTAACACAACAGAAGTTCAGTGCACATAAACCACTTTCAAAGTGGCTGCAACCAGTTTAAGATAAACCTGGATGGATGTAGTATCAGACTTAACTGATTTAGATTAAGCTTGCTTTCTCAAAGCGATTTCTGGACAACTCACAATGGATCCATATCGCATTGAACCATGGGGCCAGGCCAACCTAACCCAGAATTAAGTTGTCTGTGTGGCCATCTAGTCAGAGAAACTGAAGTGATAACCAGTCTTGGATCCTTTTCCCCAATTCCTTTGCATTTTGATTTTGTAATCCAAAACAACAAATAAAATGGAAGGCCACAACTGGCCACCACTGGAAAACCTACTGGGACAATAGAGTGCAATGGGCGCAGTTCATACTTCCTGACTTTGCCACAAACCCACGGAGCTGTGGGTGGAAAGACAGAAGAAGAGGGCTGCTAGTAACCTTCTAGTCCTTGTGACAGCCTGATTCACTCCACACTCAGAGCTCTTTGAAAATCTGTCATTTCTAGACTTCCTTCTAATCTGTTGCCTCTTACTTACCAGGCTCATGCTCTGGGAGGTTGGGTAGGACCCACACTTGTAGTTTTTTCACTGTAGCTTGCTATCAGCTTTTTGCAGAGTTCTGTATAATATAAGGAGTATGAACTTGGGCCTATTCATCATATCCAGTGCCATCTTCCTGAGAGCACACAGACATTTCTTAGAGCCCATCTGACAATATTTCAAAATATTAAATAGTGGTCAATCTTTCAGCAACTCTGAAATTCATTTTTGGAAGGGTATACTATAGCAACAGTAGATATTTGAGTAAAAATAGTAATAATGACTGTCTCTTCTCAGCAAACAAAGTGGGTATCAGTAGTTATTATTTTTTCTTTTTTTATAATATCCCAAAGTGTAAAATGTGTCATTACAGAGAAATAGGCTCCAGTTCTCAAGAGCGGCTAATGATCTTGGGTGCTTTGGTCTGTCAAAACCTAATGTCAAACTCTGGAAGGGAGCCTAAACAGTCACCTTTAGAAAATTCAGTCCAAGTTATGCTGTGTATGTTTTACCCTTATTAGCTTGTGTCCTAATAAAATGGGACAAAACATAGAATATCCATTTATGTCGAAATTGAATATGAACATTAATTATGATGAATCATAAGAATGGAGATTTTTCTGCCTTTTTGACAATCTGTGAATCAAAAATACTCAGTGCTAGGGATGGAAGCTTTTCAGAAAGAGAGAACTACATGGTAATCCCATTGCTGTTCAAGATGTCTTTAAGCTTCCTGAGTTTCTGAACTTAATTGTTCTGAATGGAATGAGAAACTGAAAGAGTCTGTTTTGCAGGATGTTAATGAACACAGAGAATGGTATATTGCTTAATTTGTTATGAACCAGCAGAGAGTGTAAATATAGGACCTTTACACAGTCATTTTGAGCTTACTCCATTTGAATAGCTATAGCACTGTAACAGACCAAAGACTGGCAACATATACTGTGTCACTAATTACATTCACCATAATCAATCAGTTTGGTCTCTGGAACCTTTTCTTATAGTAAGCAACAAATAGTATATAAGCCCTTTTAAGGTATCTCAAAGTTGGGCACTCTGAATTATTAGTAGGTACTTTCAAAAAGGTGGGCCACAACTACCTGGGTATCTTTGTGGCGTGTGTTACTACAGTATCTCAGTGCTGACAACATGGTCCCTGCATTTGGAGAGCTTGATGCTAAATTTGGACATGAGGTAATAAAGGAGGTATCAAAGTAGCTAAGTGAGGTTAAGGAAGGGAGATCAGGTTTTACAACACGATAATCAGGTAGTTACTCAGAAAGGTTTGCGTGCATCACAGTAAAGCAAATACTCTGACTCATTGTATAACTATTATGACAAACACGGGCCTGAAAGCTGATTTAGTGTGAGGAGAAGGTAGTGGCCTTCCATAAACAGCTCTGAAACGTATGCCAGGTGAGGGTGGTGGTATGGAGGTATTTGTAGGAAGAGTACATTGGTGAATTGTGGCGAACTCAGCGATAGCATCTCGTATGAGTTGAGGTCAGATGAGCTTGCTAAGAGTAATACCAGTGTAGGTCCTTCAGACAAAGAGCCTTCTGCGCTCTATAAACTGGCTACTTCC